ACTCCAGGTGGGGTCTCACCAGAGCAGAGTAGAGGGGCAGAATCACCTCCCTTGACCTGCTGGCCGTGCTTCTTTTGATGCAGCCCAGAATACGATTGGCCTTCTGGGCTGCGAGCGCACATTGCTGGCTCATGTCCAGCTTTTCATCCACCAGTACCCCCAAGTCCTTCTCCGCAGGGCTGCTCTCAATCCCTTCATCCCCCAGCCTGTATTGATACTGGGGGTTGCCCCAACCCAGGTGCAGGACCTTGCACTTGGCCTTGTTAAACCTCATGAGGTTCACATGGGCCCACTTCTTGAGCTTGTCCAGGTCCCTCTGGATGGCATCCCATCCCTCAGGCGTGTCAACCACACCACTCAGCTTGGTGTCATCTGCAAACTTGCTGAGGGTGCACTTGATCCCACTGTCTATGTCATTGATGAAGATATTAAACAGTACCGGTCCAAATACGGACCCCTGCGAGATGCCACTCGTCACCAATCTCCATCTGGACATTGAGCCGTTGACCACTACCCTCTGGATGCAACCATCTAACCAATTCCTCACCTGCCAGACAGTCCACCCATCAAATCCATACCTTTCCAGTTTAGAGAGAAGGATGTTGTGGGCGACCGTGTCTGGGTCTTTCAGGGGGGACCATTCCAAAATGCTGCCAAATAAAATGTCTTTCAGTAAGTGAAGACCATGAGTCAAGACAAAGAAGTAGACAGAAAATATATCCCATACAAACCAAGTGGTTTTTTTTTTTTCTGAACAGAACATGAGTCAAAATTCACAATAAATAAATTAAAGCACAAGTTGTTCTAAAAATGCTGTTATTGCTTCTCTCTCTTTAAAATGCTTCTTTTGATGCAGCCCAGGATACGATTGGACTTCTGGGCTGCGAGCGCACATTTCTGGCTCATGTCCACCTTTTCATCCATAAAATCATCCACTATTTTTTCTCATAAAAATAGTAAGTCGTTTCACTTCGTGTCCACGGACATTTATTTTATTAACAAGCAAGGTCAGACATGTCTATGCTTGTGTAGTCTTAACGTAAAAGAAGCATTTGGCTTAACTCTAACTCGGGTGGATGCTGGAGCAGGATTCCTTGGCTTGGGAGCTTGGCATCCTCTAGTGGCCAATTTTAGGAAATTTGGGAGCACAATGCTCAACTGGCATAAATAAAGCAGCTTTAGTGACTTCACCAGAACTACGCCAATTTATGATTTGCTTCAAATAGAAATTGAAATAAAAAGTGAGTAGTTCATCTTTTAATTAGCCTCAGACTTAACTCTATACTGATCCTGTCTTTTTCTTGTATCCAGGGTCTTGCAGTGCATGAGCCTTTACTGTACAGCCTTCTGATGCATGCACAAATTGAGTAAACCTCCATCTTCTCCATTCCCATTTATAAATACAGTCTGTATAGTCCAATCCTACATGATCTGCAAAGTCAGTTATAAAAATTGGCCTTCAACATTTGTCACTGCATATTTTCATTCATGAAAATATTACTATCCAAGGAGGAATTAAAAGCATGTCTTATCCATAAGTATGTACATACTCATTTACAAACTACAAGAAGTCCTCTATAGTATATGGCTGTCTATGTATATTGACTGGGATGGTCTCATGTGATACAAAGGAAGATCTAGTGGTATGGACAGCTTCCCTGTGGATGTCCCTGTACTTCTGCAATAAGAATATAGTAAAATCTGAGTGGAAGCACTTAGCTAAAAAAGGCAAAACCACATTAAGTAGACATAATAACTGTTTGCAGAACTGTTTTTCTGAAATATCTTTTCAGAGTAGGGTGTTTAATATTTCTAATGAATCTCTGGATAACCTGAAAATATGGCAAATGCCAGCCTAACATAATTCTGTGAGAAATTATTGCACTTTGTGTGATTTTTGCTGATAATTATTTGTATTATAAGGAAAGCCACTGATTAATTACTTTTTAAAAAAATTATCTGCAGTATTAATGATTAAGACCATTAGAATCCGGTAGGAGTCAATGGGAGTCTTCTTATGAGGGATAATGAGTTTTGTCTATGGCCTTTATATATAGATGATCGATTCTGCTTTTTGTCTTTGTCACCATCAGTTTGGATGGTAACATGAGATTAAATCTATACAATACAGCTATGATAACATAATAATAACACCAAGGCTTAACTTTACTGATTGCAACATTTCTGTGCATGTTAGCCTTCAAAGAACTGAAATACAGCATAAAATTTTTGGACAATATAAATGAATCTACTCTAACTAAGTTTGCTGATATAACTGTTTGTTTAGTTACATTAGCAGACTTCCTAGTATTGACCTGACTGTAAAGTCAAGATAGAATTTGAGGTAGTTTCATTTTCTTATTCTCTTGCATTAGGTAATCTTCTTTTTGGCTTCTCATTCCAAAACTGAGTGTTACAATCTAAACTAAACAGGGCTTTTCTTCCCCTTCCACAATCATTTAAAGTAATTGAAATATTTATTGATTTTAGGCCTGTTATTCTTTCTCTGTTTCACCTTCTCAAAAATACAATTTAAGTTAATAGTTACATTTATCATGCTTCTTTACGCATGTAGGAATTTTATGTTACTGGTCTTTAACAGATTTTTTTAATTACTATTTTTAGCTGATGGAAAACGCAGTTTATACTTTCGAGCAGTTGTTCTGTCCAAGTCACCAGGCAGACTCAGTGAAAGTTGCAACTACCATTGAAAAAGTCAAGCTGAGAGTACTGAAGGTAAATGTAATGTTGCAGCATTTGCACTGGAAGACCTTGGGTTCTGCCTTTTCGGACACTGAGAATATATTTTATGTGAATTTATCTCAGTATTTGAAAGAAGATATCTCTTACCATCCAGCTGGCAATACTGATTTGGTGGCACTTAACAAAGCTGCTCATTTTGGGGGTAAAACCTAGTTCTGGGCAGACACTTGTAAAAGTATTTACATGTGCAGTCCTTTTAACTGCAATTAAATCAGCTGGAGATGATGCTGTGGATCTGGGTAGATCATTTTTTATTAGCTTTTTAATTAGCCTGCCCCTAGAATTCATTAATCTCAGAAGAGGCAGTGCTGAAATATCTGGAGAAAGCAATCAGGGGGCTGTTTCTTGCC